GATTGCTCCCCCGTGGCCGCCACGGCCACCGCCGCCGACGTGAGGCCCCCGGAGGTCGCCAGGCCGCTACGACGAAACGGGCCCGAGCTAGCCGCTAATCGGCGGGCTAATCTGCGGGCGAGCCGACGGGCCAGGCGCGCCCCTGTAGCACCGGCACCCACGCTGACGGTCTTTCTGTCCCACCCCCCGTGCCCAGGGGGTGGTACACGCTGCCTGGTGACTGCTCTTACAACGCTTCTCTACGCTCTCTCTCTCGCTCTCTCTCTCTCTCTCCTGGCCTCGCGAACGCTTCACCTTCACCAGCTTTTCTCTGCTGGCTTTATGATCGCCTAATCTCGTCTGTAGGATACCTTCTGCATGGGTGCTGACAACTGTGTTCTGGATCCTACTTCTGGATCGCTGTGGATTCGGCTGCGTTGATGGCTTCTGGTTCACTGAAATCATTAGTACTTTTTAGTGGATTTCTAGTAATTTTTTACTATGAAATTTAGTTTATTTAGCGGGTTATGTTACTTGTTAGTCGTAGCTACTCTTTAGTGAATTTCTAGTAATTTTTCATAATGAAAATTATTTAATTTATCAAGTTATATTACTTATTACTTGCAGTTGCTCTGCAATGGATTTTTCGACATTTTTCGCAAGAAAAACCATTTTGTTTATCAAGTTATGTTACTTATTAATCAATGTTACTCTTTAGTGGATTTCTGGGCATTTTTCGCAACAAAGTTTATTCAATTTATCAAGTTGTATTATACATTAATTTAGAAAGTTATGTTGCTAATTTGCAAAGTTATACTATTTATTAATTTTGAAAGCTTATTAACTTGTCAAATTATGTATTCTGAGTGACCTCGCACAAGGACCAGTCCGGGTCCTATCGCAAATTGCTATTATTACCAATTGCGCGTGCTTGTTATAGTTATATTTACTAGTTTCCAAACAATTAACCCTTTGACTGCACTTTCGTATGAAACTCTCAATATGTGACTCGATATTCGCATGTCAGTCATACATCGGTATATTTATCGAGATTGCAAGATACTGAAACACTTACCGATATTCAGTTGTTCATAGACGATAAATTCTGTGGTATATTAGCTTCATAAAACAGCGAACGTATTATACCAAGAGAAATTTATAATTGTATGTGTACACATTTCGTACACGTTGATAAACACGTGAGGGTATATATGTATACCCTTTCGTGTATGATAGACAAGTGAAGGCGCATATGCCTTTCACAGTCAAAGGGTTATTAGGATAGGTCGAGATCATGGTGTCACATATGACAACGTAAGGAAACCAGAGAATGTAGCAAGTGATAAGATAGTGAGAGATGTAAATAATTAAGTGGGAGATCGATCTTCGCGAAATCTTATTTTCTCTGCGTGGAACGAGGTTACCCTTACGGTGAACAAGAGGTAGTGAATATTTGAGTACTTCAGTATTTAGAAATTTGGAATTTTGGAAATTTAGAAATTTGGTAATTTGATAATTTGGAAATTTGGAAATTTGAAAATTTGGAAATTTGGAAATTTGATAATTTGGAAATTTGGAAATTTGGAATATTGGGAATTTTTGAATTTTAGAATTTTAGAATTTTGGAACTTTGGAACTTTGGAACTTTGGAACTTTGGAACTTTGGAACTTTGGAATTTTGGAAATTTGGAATATTGGGAATTTGGAAATTTGGAAATTTGGGACATTGGAAATTTGGAATTTTTGGAATTTGGGATATTAGGAATTTTGGAGTTTTAGATTTTTGGAGTTTTGGAGAACGCTGCGAATGATTCTTTATTGATTTTGTAAGATTTCTTATCTGGGTTCCGAAAGTTTCAAATCAAGACGAATGTACAAACTTTTGAATTCCCGAAACTCCAAACATTCCCGTCTTTCAAGGGATTTCGAGATTTCATGTGTCGTGAAACCCATCCAGATATTAACCATAAATTATGCTACCCGCGTTTTTGAAATGAAAAATTTGAATATTGGTAAATGAAATTTGATAACTTTGGAATCGTATGTGTATATCGTTTTTTGGTTATAGATAATGATATTTTCTTATTTTATATTTTTTGTTTTGCAAATTTCGATATGTTCTAATTGTAAGTTCTCAAATTTTCAAATTCCTAAATTTCCAAAATTCTAAATTTCTCAATATCCAAATTCTCAAATCCTACAATATAATAATAGAATTGTTGTATAGTTGTATTATAAGATCAGTAGAATAGTGGAACAGTTGTATGAAAATAATATAGCACAGTGCAATAGTAGGATAATAATGTAATAGTAAAGTAATGTAATGAAATGTCGGAATAATGAAATAATAGAATAGGCAAATAATAGTATAGTTAGATAGTGAAGTCAGCGAATAATAAAATGGCAGAAGTATGGAGAAATTGTAGTATAGTAATAGAATGGTCTAGTAAAATAATAATATAATGAAATGTTAATATAAGTATGTAATGGAAAGTTATATAATAGTAGAGTAGCATAGTAGAAAATTGAAATAGTAATACAGTAAGGATAATATTGTAATATTGAAATAATAGTTAAGTAGTCAAATACTAAAATAGTACAATAGTATAATAGTAAAATAGTAAAATAGTAAAATCGTAAAATCGTAAAATAGTAGAATAGTAAAATAGTAAGATAGTAAGATAGTAAGATAGTAAAATAGTAAAATAGTAAAATAGTAAAATAGTAAGATAGTAAGATAATAAGATAGTAGAATAGTAAAATAGTTAAGTAGTAAAATCATAAAATAGTAAAGCAGTAAAATAGTAAGACAATAGTAATATAGTATAATACTAAACTACTAACATACTGAAATACTACAATAGTGAAACAGGAAAATAGTGAAATAGTGAAATAATGAAACAGTAATATAGTGAAATAGTAAAATGACAAACTAGTAAAATATTAGAATAGCAAACTAGTAAAATAGTTAAGTAACAAAGCAGTAAGCTAGTAAAATATTAAACTACTAAGATACTAAAATACTACAATAGTGAAACAAGTAAACAGTAAAATAGTAAAACAGTGAAATAGTGAAGTAGTATATATAGTGGAACAGTGAAATAACAAACTAGTAAAATAGCAAAATACCAAAATAGCAAAGTAGAAAACTAGTAAAATAATACTATAACAGTATAACGAAACCGTGAAACAGTAAATTAGTAGTCTAATATCATACTAAAATAGTAGAACAGTAAAATAATAAAATAGTAATTCATTTCTACAAAATCAACAAAATAGTAAGATATCCGTACAGAAATATAACATAAAAATCTAGTAGGATAATTAAATAATTGACCAGTAGAATTGTGAAATGTACCAATGAAAATTGAATAAAACCCAAAGAATTGATCCTAACAAACGTTGAAAACGGAATGCAACAAATAAACCATGTTAAACCACAATAGTATTCCCTTATTACGTAAAAATTCTACCACACAAGGAAAGAATCGATCAATCGAATTACTGAAACAGTTTCCAACCCGGATGTTTCCCTTGCCGGAAGTCGACTCTACAAATTAAGTTGTCTCTACGAATTCTTTCTCCTCAAACTTCATTACATGAATGGTTACCACCTGCCAGGGGTGTATCGCGAAAAATCGCTTGTTTTTCTCGCAAAAACCATCAGCGTTTAATACATACGTTTAATATGTTTAATACACGTTAAAGAATTGTTCGAATATTTTTTAAACCATTCCGTTCAATATTAAAACAATCTGCAAATTGAAATCTGGCTGTAGAAAATTAACGGATTTAGATGAATTTTTATTTCAC